GTCCCAGCTGTTCCACTTCCCATCCAGCTCCCTGCTTGTGGCCTGGGAATGCAGTAGAGGACAGCCCAAAGCCTTGAGACTTACTCTCTGTAATTGGAGGAGGCTGGGAGAAAGGTCCAGAGGATCTATATTCACTGCTCTTGTCACTTCTTATTAGTTTATACATATTTCAAAAGTGATTTTTTCATTTTCTAGGAAATTTGGGTTTTTAATTTTATAATTTTTATTTCTTTGAGAGGCATAGAGACAGGAAGGCAGATGGACAGTCATTGCTGCTGTACACTGATTCTCTCCACTGATGAACTGATTCACTGCCAGAACCAGGATTGGGTCTGCCCAAGGCCTGGAGCCAGAACTCAGTCCTGATCTCCCCCATGAGAGACAGGGACCCAAATGTTAGAGCTGTCACTTGCTGCCTCTCAGAGTGTGCACATTAGCAGGAAGCTAGAACCAGGGCCAGAGTCAGGACTCAAACCTGAGAACTCTGATAGGGGATGCAGTTTAACAGCGAGACCAATCATCTACCTCCAAATAAAGTATTTTTAAATGAAGGTACAAAAGCATAAGAAATATAGAAGATAGGGCCCAGTGGCGTGGCCTAGTGGCTAAAGTCCTTGTCTTGAACGCCCCAGGATCCCATATGGGCACCGGTTCTAATCCCGGCAGCTCCACTTCCCATTCAGCTCCCTGCCTGTGGCCTGGGAAAGCAGTTGAGGACGGCCCAAAGCTTTGGCAAAGATGAAGTACTTGAAATGAAAGACATTCATGCACTACCGAAATAAGTGATTAGTACTCCTAAGTAGACAGAATGACACCAACGTGAAAGACTATTCTAAAATGTAACTCCAAAATGTTATGGAAGGGGAGAGCAGATCATTCTCCAAGAACAAGACCACGGTGACATTAGACCTCCTAAGAGCAGCAGCAGCACGGTGCACAGGTAGAACCGTCATGACTATGAATGCATACCCTGGACAAACTCAGTGTACAGCAAGCAGCAACTCACAGAACCTAGAAGACAAACAATTCACTCTTACTACCACCTACATTCTCAAGAGCCTACAGTAAAGCAGAGAATAAGGATTAGAGAAAATGGGACCTGCAGGGATTGCAAAAAAATTTTGATCACCTGAATCCAGGGGAAAATGCTCTCATTCTCTGAGATGGCCAGAGGAGAAGGGGCCACAGGCTGTGCTCATTGTCCAGTGATTTCCCAGTGTCAAAAAAATCCAATTACTGTAGTATTTAACCACTTGTCTCAAATTTGCAAGTTGAAACTTTCCTGGTTGTGAAACATTACTTGGCCTTATGACTTTTAATTTTGATTCCTTATTATCTGTATATGCCAATCAGATCATAGCAGGTGAGCCCTCTCCTGGGAAAAGGAAGTGTTAAAAGTTACAGGGTCCTCGGACAGCTGGGTCGTGTATGTCTTCATCACAGTCATCACACACAATTCTCTCAAGGACTGAAGAGCCTTTCCAGAGTGTAAAGTTACTCCATAGCAGCAGTCACTTACCACTCAGATGTCTGAAGCGCCTTCGGGAGAAACATAGTTGGTAGGCTGAGAAAATTTTACAGAAAATCAATCACAGTGATGTGGTGTTACCAAAATCATACAACTGCCAAAGTAGCAGGTCCCCTTTGTAAATTTTGCCCATATGAAATACGCTATTTGTTTTAATTTCTCAGATCTAAGACTGGGGCCCCTCAAGTTTATGTCGTGTTGTGTTTGTGTCATGAATCTGCAGGAGCTACTTAGGGCACCAACCTAGACCCCTCCAGTGAGTTTTCAGCATTCCTCTACACACACTTCTGCACTCCACCCTGCCTGTGTATCTCTCCTTCCCTGCCACACACACACACACACACACACACACACACACACACACACGGAGAAAGAAAGAAAGAGAGAGAGAGAGAGCCTTGCAAATAAATACTTTAAAAGGGAATTTGAATTTTTATCAGTATGAGTTCTGTAAAATAGTCATGAATATTAGAAATTACTCCAGTTGAAGTGTAAATGAACATAACCACTCCACTGACTGATTTTGTGCTGCTTGTCATTCCATGAAAATGCTATATTATGAAGACACAACAGTGGTACAAACAGCATAAGCAGTGTCACTCCAAGTACTGAAGTTTAAAATAGTTAATTATACTTTACCATACAGGAAGGGAAAATGTTTTCCCAAGTCCCAGAAAATGGGTAGTGAGTCATTTAAAACATTATAAAGATCCAAAATTTCATGGCCTATTTTTAAAAGCGTTGAACCTGGATTGAGAACAACCTGTCCACTTCCAGAGTCTCACTGCAGACTCTAAAAGGCTATGGTCTCTGAAGTTTAAAGCAGAAAACAGGAGAAATACAAGAAAGATACATCATGAAGGAAGATTTAATTTGCCAGATAGTAAGTATACTAAAACCCATACAGCTGAAGCAGTCTGGTCCTGGCACAGGCAAAGACATGCATACTCCACAGAGGGAAAAAAAAAGCATAGTACAAAATAGATCCAGACATATCCAAAACCATTCCCTCCTTTTTACTGCCCCATTGTAAGAACTCCATAGGTATTATATCATTGTTAAAGCACAATCAGGTTGTGCAAGATCTAAATGTACAAAGTTAAATGAGACTTGAAGAAGTTGTTTACTGTGATACTTCTATCCTACTGAATGGATAAACACTTTCTAATAAATAGGATACCAAAACAGCAAAGCAAAATGCGTTATATTACTAAAGTCTGATTAAAAAAAATGTAAAATTACATCTCTGGGTATCGAGGGTCTTATCAACAATTCCAAAGACCCCCCTCTCCAAAAAATTAATTCTAGATCTTTCATCAAAGGTGCCTGAATAACCTAAATAAAAGAATAATTAAGGGAAAAACCCTAATTCTGCCATGACTTAAGTATCTCTCAAATAACAGCAGCACCAGGATGAGCCTCAGCAGGCCAGATTAGTCTAGTATACAAAGAAGATCGTGTTTCTGTGGACACAAAACCTGCCAACAGCCTTAATCCCATCGAAAACCTCAGACCACATGCAGTCATTCGCCAAAGTAAACATGAAATGAGAGGCCGCATCAGAATTATCAGCAAAGTCTGCAAAGTTTCAGTTCAGACCAGCAATTTGAATAAGTCTCAGAAATAATAGCCAAACTCAAACACTTAATGATTTTATGATTTTTGCATTTGGACTAATGCATGGGTTTTAAGAACTTGTAAGAAAGAAAATATAATTAACACAGGTATCTTAGTATGGTTTACTTTTTTTTTAAGATTTATTCATTTTTATTGGAAAGGTGAATATACAGAGAGAAGGAGAGACAGAGAGGAAGATCTTCCGTCCAATGGTTCACTCCCCAAGTGACTGCAGCAGCTGGAGCTGAGCCAATCCAGAGCCAGGAGCCAGGAGCTCTTCCGGGACTCCCACACGGGTGCAGGGTCCCAAAGCTTTGGGCTGTCCTCAACTGCTTTCCCGGGCCACAAGCAGGGAGCTGGATGGGAAGTGGGGCCACCGGGATTAGATCCAGCAACCATATGGGATCCCAGTGCCTACAAGGTGAGGATGTTAACCACTACGCCACCACGCTGGACCCTGGTTTACTTTTTAAAGTACTTATTTGGACTAAGAGAGACACCATGAAGAAGTGTAGGACTGAAAATATACTTGGAGATCAAGGTCAAATGAAAGTCCTGAGTAGCTGCTAAGATATTTGTAACACCCCGAGCCAATGTAGGTGAATCTACCTGACTAACCTTAGCTTGAGAATAAGGCAAGCTTTAAGAGCAATTAAGTTTAATGTTTGTCCTACATCTACAAAATCCTATTTTCAAATCTGTTCCCTTTAATTTGTAGTCACCCAAGATAATAAGGTATGTCTGTGTGGGTATGAATTCTCCTCGCCCTCATGCTCTTGCATCTTTGTGTATGGATTTGAATTGGGGTGACAGATGAGAATATATAGCGTAGTGGTTGAAGTCCTTGCCTTGAATGCACCGGGATCCCATTGGGCAATGGTTCTAATCCTGGCAGCCCCACTTCCCGTCCAGCTCCCTGCCTGTGGCCTGGAAATGCAGTTGAGGATGGTCCAAAGCTTGAGATCCTGCACCCGTGTGGGAGACCCAGAAGAGGCTCCTGGCTTCAGATTGGCTCATCTCCAGCCGTAGCAGCCACTTAGGGAGTGACCCAATCGGATGGAAGACCTTCCTCTCTGTCTTCTCTCTGTATATCTGACTTTCCAATAAAGATAAATAAATATTTTTTTTTTAAAAAAGGCGCCAAATGTGCTTCAAACTGTCCAATAGCAGGAATCATGTGGTTGGAGTATCTGAATTTGGGGCAAAACAATCAGGGAATTTCCTGTGCTGTCTCTGTGTCCCTTTGCTTGGTATGAGATTGCACAGCCATTTTCATTGAGATAAGTCAAATGCGTAGGAAGTAGCTCTGAGAGCATTATTTTAAGTTGACATATGTTATTACAGCTCTTTAAAAAACCTGTTTTTAGGTTGCTTGAGTACTCACTCTAGGAGAAAATTGAATTGGAAATTATATGTAGAGATCCATAATGGAGCATTCTTGGTGTTTGTGTAGGGAAACGGAGAAAGCTCTCAGGTAGATGGCATACAACTGGGCACGTAACCCTTTGCCATGAGGCTCAAAATGCCCTTTTCTCCTGCTTAGAAGATCTGTGGAGTGTACCCTAAGAGTGAAAACTGGAGTTATTGTGAACAGTCTACCTTTAACTAAATAAAAAGTCCCAGGGTCATGACCTCACTGCTCCCAAAATCATGACTCCAGTTTAGGTTCTTTTCTGAGATGTAAGACAGCAGTGTTCCTAACAAGCTGAGCAAAGAGAAAATGTGACCTGATTTCTGGCTATTCCATCTCCTTTTCCTGGCACAGACTCCTGAGAAGTAGTGTCTGTGTTCTGTCTATGCATTTCATTCTGACTTCCTCCACCATCCTCTCACTCTTCTTGCCCCTCCACCACAGGTGTAGAAGACATAGTGGCCATAATGATTCCTGAACCAAAAGGGAAGGAGATTGTCAGCCTGCTGGAGAGGAACATCACTGTGACCATGTCCATCACCATTGGGACCCGGAACCTGCAGAAATACGTGAGCCGCACCTCCGTTGTGTTCGTCTCCATCTCCTTCATTGTCCTGATGATCATCTCCCTCGCATGGCTGGTCTTTTATTATATCCAGAGGTTTCGATATGCAAATGCCAGGGACAGGAACCAGGTGAGTAACCAAACATTTAAAACTAAAAAAGCACTGTTACAAATGTGATATAAATAGCAATGTATCAGTTTTTTTTTTTTTTTTTTTTTTATTGTTCCTTACACTGTATTATGTAGTACAGTTTTATAGGCGCTGGGGATCCCCCCCACCCCTCCCATACCCCTCCCCCCATGGTGGATTCCTCCACCTTGTTGCATAACCATAGTTCAAGTTCAGTTGAGATTCATTGCTTGCAAACACATGCCTAGCATAAAGTTCAGCGTCTTATTGTCCAGATAAGTTCAGTGGCCTCTTGGGGAGACCTTCTATGGTCTGAAGATAGGTTTAACAGAGTAAAGATCCGGTCAGTTAAAAGCCCCAACAAGGCCTCAGTATCAATATACAACATTATGGAATTAATTGACATAGTAATGGGTAGACAATATGTTAAAAATAATGCAAGTTCCATTCTTCGAAACATCTGGGTTGAGACAGTATCAATGACAGGTTCAAAAAATAACCAACAATCAAACAAAAAATTACAGGTTAAATCAAGGCAAACATGTGGTATCTAATCTTTTGGGATTCACTCATTTCCCTTAGCATTATAGTTTCCAGTTGTGCCCATTTAGCCACAAAGAACTGCATTTTGTTTTTTTTAATAGCTGAGTAGTATTCCATGGAGTAGATGAACCAAAGCTTTCTTATCCAATCTTCTGCTGATGGGCATTTCGGTTGCTTCCATGTTTTTGCAATTACTGATTGTGCTGCAATGAACATAGGGATGCATGTTGGTTTGTCGTAAAACAGGTGTTTTGGATATATTCCTAGGAGTGCTATTGCTGGGTCATATGGTATGCAGATTTTGAGTTGTTTGAGTGTTCTCCAGACTGATTTCCATAAAGGCTGTACCAATTTGCAGCTCCACCAGCAGTGGAGTAGGGTTCCCTTTTCCCCGCATCCTCGCCAGCAAGCGTCGTTGGTGTTCTTGTTTATGTGGGCCAATCTTACTGGTGTTAGGTGGTACCTCATCGATGTTTTAATTTGGATTTCCCTTATTGCTAGGGAGCTGGAACATTTTTTCATATGTTTGTTTGCCATTTGGACTTGTTCCTTTGTGAAATGTTTGCCCATTTCCCGTGCCCATTTCTTGAGTGGTTTGTTTGTTTTGGTTTTTTGGTTGTTTTGAAGTTCTTTGTATATCCTGGAAATTAGCCCCCTATCGCCTATATCGTGTGCAAAGATCTTCTCCCACTCTGTGGGTTGCTTTTTTACTTTGTTGATTGTTTCCCTTGCTGTACAGAAGCTTCTTAGTTTGATGAGGTCCCATTTGTTTATTCTGTTCTCAACTGCTATTGCTTTTGGTGTCCTTCTTAGAAAGTCGGAACCTACTCCTAGGTCTTGCAGGGTATTTCCTACATTTTCCTGCAAGAGTTTGAAGGTTTCTGGATGTAGGTTTAGGTCTTTTATCCATGTAGATTGGATCTTAGTGTATGGTGATAGATGTGGGTCTATCTTTTTGTTTCTACAGGCTATCAGCCAGTTGTCCCAACAACATTTACTAAAGAGTCCTTCCCACTTGCTTGAGTTGTCATTGGTCTTTTTGTCAAAGATTAATTGGCTGTATTTGTGTGGGTTCCCTTTTGGTGCTTCTATTCTATTCCATTGATCTTCCTTTCTGTCTTTGTGCCAGTACCAGGCTGTTTTGATAACCACTGCTCTATAGTATGTCCAGAGGTCCGGGATTGTGATTCCCCCTGCTAACTTCTTATTTTTCAGGATGGTTCTAGCTATTCGTGGTTTTTTGTGTTTCCAGATGAACTCTTGAATCATTGTATCCAGTTCCGTGAAGAATGTTTTGGGCAATTTGATTGGAATTGCGTTGAAGATGTATATTGCTTGTGGTAGTATAGACATTTTAATGATATTGATTTTGCCTATCCAGGAGCACGGGATGTTATTCCATCTTTTGAGGTTTTGTTCAATTTCCTTTTTAAATAGTTTGTAGTTTTCTTCGAATAGGTCTCCTACGCTTTTGGTTAAATTTATTCCCAAATACTTCATACTTCTCTCTGCTATTTTGAATGGTATCCTGTTGGTTAGATCTTCTTCCATCTTGGTGTTATTTGCGTACACTATGGCTGTTGATTTTCGTTCATTAATTTTGTACCCCGCCACTCTGCCAAACTCTCGTATAAGTTCTAGCAGTTTCTGTATTGAGTCTCCTGGTTTTTCTATGTACAGGATTATGTCATCTGCATATAGTGAAAGCTTGACTTCTTCGTTTCCTATACGTATGCCTTTGATTTCTTTTTCTTGTCTTATGGCCTCTGCAAGTACCTCTAGGACTATGTTGAATAGCAGTGGTGATAGCGGGCACCCTTGTCTTGTTCCAGATCGCAGTGGGAAGGGTTCTAGCTTTTCTCCATTCAGTATGATACTGGCATTGGGTTTTTCATAAATTGCTTTGATTATGTTGTGGATTTTCCCATCTATGCCTACTTTGGCTAGAGTTTTTAGCATGAAGAGGTGTTGGATTTTGTCGAAAGCTTTTTCTGCATCTATTGAAACTATTATGTGGTTCTTGTTTTGCAGTTTTTGGATGTGGTTTATAACATTTATGGATTTCCGAATGTTGAACCATCCCTGCATTCCAGGGATGAATCCTACTTGATCCGGATGAATGATCTGTCTGATGATTTTTTGAATTCTATTGGCTAGGATTTTGTTGAGAATTTTAGCATCAATGTTCATCAGAGAAATAGGTCTGTAGTTTTCCTTCTCTGATGGTTCTCTGTCCGGTTTTGGGATTAAGGTGATGTTAGCTTCATAGAATGAGTTTGGGAGGGTTGCTTCCTCCTCTATTGTTTTGAAGAGCTTGTAGAGGATTGGGGTTAGTTCTGTTCGGAATGTTTTGTAGAATTCTGTAGTGAAGCCGTCTGGGCCTGGGCTTTTTTTCGTTGGGAGATCTTTGATGACTGTTTCAATCTCTACCTCGGTTATGGGTTTATTTAATTCTGCAGTTGCCTCCGGACTGAGTTTTGGTAAGTGGTGGGAGTCCAAGAACTTTTCTATTTCTTGGTGGTCCTCAAATTTGTGGGAGTACAGTTCTTTGTAGTAATTTCTAATTATTTTCTTAATGATTGCAGTGTCTGTTGTTATGTTGCCTTTTTCATCTTTAATGCTATTGATTCTCACTTTCTCTTGTTTTTTTTTGGTCAATCGGGCCAGTGGAGTGTCTATTTTGTTTATTTTCTCAAAAAACCAACTTTTTGATTTGTTGATTTTATGTATAGTTTTTTTGATTTCTATTTGGTTTATCTCCTCCCTTGTTTTGATGATTTCTTGTTTCCTATTGTGTGTGGGACTCTTCTGCTGCTGTTTTTCCAGATCCTGGAGGTGTGAGGTTAGTTCCTGTATTTGGCGTCTTTCTTGGGCCTTGACATGGGCTCCGATTGCGATGAATCTACCTCGTAGCACTGCTTTGGCGGTGTCCCACAAGTTTTGGAATGTTGTATCAGAGTTTTCATTGGTTTCCATAAATTTTTTGATCTCATCTTTAATTTCTTCTCTGACCCATTGTTCGTTTAATAGCATATTGTTCAATTTCCAAGAGTGCCTATACTTCCTGGGGAGTTTTGAGTTGTTGATTTCCAGTTTCATCCCATGGTGGTCTGAGAGGGTACATGGTATGATACTAATGTTTTGGAAGTTGTTTAGATTCGCTTTATGTCCTATCATGTGGTCGATTCTGGAGAAGGTGCCATGCACCGCTGAGAAGAAGGTATAGTCTGTGGCCTTAGGATAAAAAGTTCTATATATGTCTACTAAGTCCAGTTGTTCTATTGTTTGTGTGAGCTCTGTTGTTTCTTTGTTGAGTTTTTGTTTCGTAGACCGGTCCATTGTTGTTAGAGGTGTGTTGAGATCGCCTACAAGAATTGTGCGGGTGTCTATGTCTTCCTTTAAGTCTGTAAGTAATTGCTTTACGTAAGTAGGTGCATTAAGATTCGGTGCATAAACATTAATGATGGTGATTGCTTCTTGATGGATCATTCCTTTCACCAGTATAAAATGGCCTTCCCTGTCTCTTTTGATGTTAGTTAGAATGAAATCTATCTCGTCTGAAATTAGGATAGCTACCCCAGCTTTTTTTTCTCGTCTATTGGCGTGAAATATCTTTTTCCATCCCTTCACTTTCAGTTTCTTTGCATCCTTTCTGGTTAGATGCGTTTCTTGTAGGCAACAGATGGTTGGGTCTTGTTTGATGATCCATTCTATTAATCTCTGTCTTTTGATTGGTGAATTTAGACCATTTGTGTTGAGAGTTAAAATTGAGAGGTTGCAATTTTGCCCTGCCATGTGATTGTGTTGTGTGTGTGTTGTTGCCTATGTAATTGTCTTGTTGGTGCGGCCTTTAGTTTGGAGACCTTCTTATTTGCCAACTTTGTTTGTGATTTGCCTCCTTTTTGTCCGGGACTAGCGCATTTCTAAGGAGACTTTGCAGAGCTGGTTTTGTGTAGACATATTCTTCTAGTTTTTCTTTGCTATTGAAGTATCTGATTTCGTTCTCATATACAAATGAGATCTTTGCTGGGTAGATTATTTTTGGTTGACAGTTGTTTTGTTTCAGGACTTGGAAGATCTTTGTCCATTCTCTCCTTGCTTGTAGGGTCTCTTCGGAGAAGTCAGCAGTGATCCTGATGGGTTTTCCCCTGTATGTGATCTTTTCTCTACTTCGTACTTGTCTCAGGATTCCTTCTTTGTCTTCATTGGAGTAGAACTTGAGCACCGTGTGTCTGGGTGAAGATCTCTTTGGATCATGTCTGTTGGGAGTTCTCTGTCCATCCTGTATGCGGGGTGGGTTCGTGTTCCAAGTGTTTTGGAAGTTTTCCTGTATAATTTCATCGAGCACTGCTTGCATCCCAGATTCTCTTTCTACTCCCTCGGGGAGGCCGATGATCCGAATATTCAATTTTCTAAGGTAATCCTTCATCTCTTGCATCATTTTATTAGTTTTGCTG